GTCCCGAAAGGCTGACCAGTCCGGACACCCGTGCTAATAACGTACGGGCAGCGAGCACTACTCAGCGACCCTCTACTCTGAGCGTACCACTCACGAAGCTGCTGGGGCGAAAGACTTTCGCGCAGACGACGCTGCTGCTGCACAGGGCCACTGCAAGAAGCTCCCGAACTACCCACTCCAGGACGACTCCCACTACTGCCACGCCGACAACCCCAGCTGGCGTACCACTCACGAAGCTGCTGGGGCGTGAGGGACACACGCGGACGGCCTTGGAGCTGCATCTGGCCACGCTAGGAGAAGTAGTAGAAGCAGGAGCAGCAGGGGCAGGGCAGTGCTCACCAGTGGTGGGATGGGCAGGCGTACGACGGAGGCGACTGCGGGGCCGCTACAGCGGAAGGGCGGGGCCGCGACCGTGGCAGGAAGCTCCGCGGCAGTTGGTGCAGGGCGGGACCGGGCCGCGACGGCGGCTGGTGCAGGGCAGGGACAGGGCCGCGACGATCGCTGCTGCAGGGGCGGCTGCTCCAGGGGCCAGGGGCAGGTCCTGCAGTGGCGGGCTGCTCCAGTGGCCAGGCGCGACGCGGCGAGCAGGGCGACGCGGCGTGCAGGGGCGACGCCGCGGGCAGAGGCAACGCGGCGAGCAGAGCGACGCGGCGGGCAGGGGCGACGCCGCGTCAGCAGCTGGGCGCGGTCTGACGGGGCCGCGCGCTGGTCTGACGGGCCTGCAGAGGCTGCGTGCGGGTGGCGAGGGCCTGCAGGGGCGGCGCGCGGTCGGGCAGAAGCTGCGCGCGGGCGGCGTGGTCCTACAGGGGCAGCGCGCCGACCTGACGGGCCTGCAGGGGCGGCTCTCGGGCCTGACGGGCCTGCAGAGGCGGCTCAGGGGCCTGACGGGCCTGCAGAGGCGGCTCGGGGGCTTGACGGACCTGCACGGGCGGCTCGAGGGCCCTACTAGGTTGCAGGGGCGGCGTACTGGCCTAGGGCAGCAGGAGGCAGCGCGAGTGCTGCAGGACGGCGCGCAGGCAGAACGAAGGGCGGGGCGCGCGAGGGCGCACTAGCAAAAAAAGGGGCGCACGTAGGGTAAGGCGCACGAGGGCGCTTCTAGCGGAATAGTGGGCCCGTAGTAGTAAGCGGTCCTAGGTGGCAACCTAGGCTCGTGATACCATGTCAGAATGAACAAGAGTGATTGCACTAGGAAAGAGTTGGGTACAAGTAGGAAACCCTAAACTTACTGTACCCCATAGTAACTACCCCACTACAGCCTAAACAAACTGTAGTATATATAACATTAGACACATTCGCATGGGCGAGCAGGAGTTAGCGACCGAGTACTGCTTTTAAGCTCCAGTTGGCCGATGTAGAGGTTGTCAGTCGCCTCGTATGTCACGCACATCATCAAGGGTATTCTGACGGGCTATGATATGATGCGCAGCGCATGTGAGTCACTCAACAAGGACACGCTGTCGAGCCAGATCATGAACGACGAGTTCATGCAGGAGTCCGAGAGGTCCACAGAATTGCTTACGCATGCCAAATGTGTCGCCCCATCGAAGCAAGAACGTCACCCAGGGCAGCGCGGGAATTCGGGCGGAGGCTTAGGCGGAGGCAATGGCGGAAAGTCGGGGAACGCAAAGTCGTCGAAGAGTGCCGGCCGCGGGAAGTCGGAGAAGGGAGGTGACCACGGAGGCAGTGGCTCGCGTCGATAAGGACGTCTCGGCCCCATCTGCGCTCCCAATCAAGCCTCTTATACGACTGCCCCACCCGATATGAGTCTGACGACGATCGCGATGCCAGCCGTGGGAAGTCGAGTGGTGGTGGTCGTCGTCAAGACAACCAGCCACGCAAGGAGAAGCAGGCTTCGTCGAAATCCACGTCGACATCACAGGGCGACCGAGCGGTAATGCATCCTCGGCATCGCGTTGTTAACGATGATGATCCGCATGTCGAACTACACCTACTGTGCTGTGTAGTATCTAAATGCTGTCGTCTTCTGCGGGCGGTTGACGTTGACTTCTGCGGGCAGTTGGTGCTGACTTTTGTATGAAGTCCACGTCGACTTCTACGGGCAGTCGGCGTCTACTTTTGCGCGCAATCCGCGTCGACTTATGCGAGCACTCGGCTGCACAATCCGTCTCGCCCAAGAGAGGGTGGGGCCATTTCCCGTCACACAGCCCATTGCCGGTGACGAACGCAAAAGTGTATCTAATTTGCCAGTGAGAGTGTCGTTGACCGTCGACCTCGGTGGTGCGAGCTGCATGCAGCACCCAAGTGCAGCACGTGGGCCCTAGTTCCACCGACGCCAATGATGACGGCTCTGTGAGGTCCTCAAATCACTCCATGCGTCACTCTCCTTTTGCTCCAGCATGGGAAAGGGGATACACGCACGCCCACTACGTACAACTTCGTAGTGGGTGTGTGCTCTAATAGCGTGTCTCACAACAGCAGCTCACGCCGGCAGGGTGCCTTCTCCATGGTCGACGATGATGAGCTAGAGGGCTGCTGACATAACAACGCAAGCAATTCTGTAAGCAATTCGACGCAATCGTCGATCTATGCGACGGTCTATCGCGGATTGGTGTCCACCGTCATAGCACCATGCGGAGAATCACTACACGACGAGTAATGATATTTGTTGGAGGTCATGGATTTTACGAGAATGATCAAATTGTTGCTTACGTTCTCACTTCTAGCTGTCCAAGCGTATGAATCTGGCAAGAGTTTCAGTGGGGATAGGAGAGCAACAATATTAAAATGGCTTGGCATATCTGTTTAATCAAGAACACACTGCTAGACTAGAAACAACCTAGCAAGTCGAAATGACGAGGACTCGTCAACGTCTAGAGTCCTATATGCTCGACGCAGCCGTGACTGCACGTGCTTATGAGTGAGTACGCGGGTACAATTGTAAGCACTAAGGATTAAGAATTCATTGCAATAAGAAACTGCATTCATGCTTCGTTTTCGTTTGCACTGTACCATCTAGAACATAATGTAAAAATGTATGATAAATTATACATTGATGTGTTTCTAACAAGTGCAGAGCATTAGCGAAACTGGAGAGCATTCGCAGCCACTCTTCGAGTGTCTGTGGGTGGATGCTTGCGTGTTCGTGCACTGTGCTATTGCTAAAGTTCTCTCATATCTCGCAATCATCGTGCATGCATATTGTTGGCTGAGGTCATTGTCTGGAAGCTTCTCTGTGAGAAAATGAGGATATGAATTGACTAGGAAACATGTGGGTACAAGTAAGAAACCTAGAAGTGTTGTACCCTATAGTATCTATCCCACTACAACCTAGATAGACTATAGCATATATGTTTGACACACCCCCATAGGCAAAGTGGGGGAGAACAAGAGGTCACAAGACCAGTCAAGCAAAGCACAGCAAGCTGAGGGTGGATCACAACGTCACCACACATTCCGAGCACAAGTTCAACGCCACAAGGCCAGTTCACATGCAAGATTATATATAAAGGTAAACAAGCAAGTGCAGGTATAGATAGATCACAGTACAAGCAAGGTCAAGAAGTGACCAAGTGAGGCCAAGTAGGCACAAGACCTAGCATCGCACAAAAGCGCTGATGAACACAAGGCTAAAGTGCCTTGGTCAAGATATCAGCAGTGTTGGCCTGAGAGGCCACGTAAGCAAGGCGCAGCTGACCACGCTGCTGCAGCTCACGAGCAAGGAAGTAGCGAAGAGCAATGTGCTTCGTTCTGTGCTCCAGTCTGTGCTCCTGACACAAGGCCAGCATGGACCACTGAACTCCGCCCTCCAACCACGAGCCCCATGCCCGACGTACTGCACAAGTAGCACAACACCCTCTTTGCAGCAGCCATGTGCTCTGGTCGGTGTCTCCTAGGAGCAACATAGCGTGCTAAGATGCTAAGAGAGTATGCTAGGTCAGGACGAGTGCAGGTCATCAGGTACATGAGGCAGCCAACAAGCTCGGGTACGGGCCACTCGGCTCTACGGACTCATCCGAAGGCAGAGCTGAGAGCGAGTGGCGAGTAGACAGAGGAGTGGCCTGAGGCGAGGAGTACGTGAAGTCGAAGCGCTAAAGGACCTGCTGCACCATGTGTGACTGAGTCAGGGTGATGGTGCGGCGTGCTCTGTCCTGGGTGATCTGCAAGCCAAGATAGCTGCGCAGTTCACCCAGATCTGTGCACGTGTGTCTCTTCTGCAGCTCGGACTTAGCGTGGGCGAGTCCAGCAGTGTCAGCAGTAGCAAAGACCAAGTCGTCGACGTACACGAGGATGTAGAACGGCGCCAGCGAGGTGTCGGTGCATAGAAACAGTGACGGGTCAGCAGTAGAAGGAGCAAACCCAAGAGCCGCTAGCGTAGTCCTCAGTGTGTCGTGCCACTCGCGGGGAGCTTGGCGGAGACCGTAGACTGGCCGCCGGAGGCTCCACTGGGTACCAGGACGAAACGACCCAATGAAGCCAGGAGGGCGGCGCAGCCAGATCTCCTCGTGCAGGCTGCCCTGTAGGAAAGCAGTGCTGAAGTCAAGAGAGTGAAGCTCGTAGTCGCGCTGAGCGGCTATGTGCAGTAGTACCCGAAGAGTGGTCATCTTCGGGGTGGGGGAGAAGGTCTGAAAGTAGTCAACTCCCTACCGCTAACTGAAGCCTCGAGCCACATATTGTGCCGTGAAGACAGGCGGAGAACCCGGCGGCCGCTTCACCCTGAAAATCCACATGCCACTGACGATGTTCGCCCTAGGTGGGGGAACCTCGTCAACGTAGGTGCTTGTGGACTTCCAGGAAGCCATCTTTGCGTCCATGGCTGACTGCCACTGAGAGGAGTGGGGACCCTCTATCGCCTCTGCGTAAGAGAGCGGAGTCGGGATGTCTGGTGCATCCGGGTCTCCCTTAGGGGCAATCAGCTTGGACACGAGATGCGGTAAAGCAGCAGCAAAACACTGGAACTCCTCTTCCCTGTCCTCAAGGACGTCCGTGCAAAGAGCTCAGCATCTCTAGGAGCACCAGAGTCAGCAGCTACCTTGACAGGCTCAACTGCGTCTACCTGGGACACACCTAAGGGGGCAGGACCCTGAGGGGGGAGGGGGTCTACCGGAGGGGACCTGGCGCGAGGAAGAGCGGCGGGGGGGGAGGGGGGCAGCGCGGTAGGGGAAGAGACGGTAAAACGGAACCGACTCGTCAAACGTGACGTCCTGGGAGGACAAAACACGGCGCGAGGTGGGGTGGTAAAACTGCCAACCAGGCACGTCAGGGGGGAAACCAAGGAAGACGCATGGAACAGCACGAGAGGACAGCTTGTTCGCAGACAAGTCTCGGACGAAAGCTCGAGATCCCCAGACACGGAACGCAGACGCATCGCCAACCTTCCCCGTCCACCGAACGGAGGGGGAGGTCTCCGGCAAGGAGACCTGGGGCTGAAGGTTGATCTGCTGCACCGCGTACTGAACCGCGAACGGCCACAGGAGCAGCCGCATGCATCATGGACGTACGAGCGACGTCCATGACCATGCCAATGCGGCGCTGAGCAATCCCATTTTTTTTGTGGAGAGGCAAGAAACGTGAACGTCTGGCGGATGCCCCTCGCGCGACAGAAGGCTCGCAGAAGGTTGGAGGAAAACTCTCCACCTCTGTCGGAGTGCAGACGCAGAACAGGAAAGTCCGAGCCGAAACTCTCTCTGAGCTGGAGACGAGCAGCGCGGATCCACTCGATCAACACCCCAGTGACCTCACCCTTGGTGCGCAAGGGGAAGACTGCGGTGTAACGCGAGTAGTCGTCAACCACCAAGAGGAAATAACGCTCCTGACCCTGTCCACGGACGCGGTCTGGGCCCACACGTCCATGTGAAGAGTCTGCAGCGGAGCCTCTGTCGGCGGAAACTTGGAGGAGTGAGGAGCGGCGCGCTGCCGCCCCTCGACGCAGGGAACGCAGGTAGGGGCAGGCCCCGGAGGAAGGGGAGGGAGGTACTTGGGGAGACCAAAGACAAGGTAACGGGAGGCCATGCCTCGGTGACGAGGCAGGGAAGGGTAACCAAGGCGGTGGTGCCAGAGGAGGGTCTGGTGGGACAGGAGGCGACACGAGCAGGGGGCAGACTCAGGATCAGACCTGGACGCTGCAGCAAACACCCGGCCAGGCGCAGCTACTTGACCAGACGCTGTAGCCGGAGGAGACTCGGTAGTCACTGTGTACAGGCTCGACCCCAGCTGACGGGTTAACGTGGCCATTTATCGGCCCGTCCGAGCACACGTGCAGTGGGTCACCCGCTGACTCGCAGGAGTGAACTGACAGGTCAGCACAACTCACCAAGTTCGTAGAGAATGAGGGGACGTAAAGACCTGACAGGGAGCTAGACGGGGCCGCTGGACACGGTAGTACAGTGGAGAAGTGGGCAAGGACAGGACCCCCAGAGGGGTCTGCTAGGGAGACCGCAACTGGCCGACTGAGCGGCGTGAGGGTGGTGCGGTCTCGAAAGAAGGAGCGAGAAGCACCCGAGTCAAGGGTGAAGGTGTGCAAAGCCTGACCAGACGTGGTACCTGAGAGAGCAGACTCACTAGCACCTGGAGCAGTAAACTCTCTAGTACCTGGAGCAGCGGACTCACGAGCACCTAGAGCAGCAGCTGCAATGCTCGGGTCAGGCGGAACACACAGGTAACAGTCACCCTCATCACTAGTAGACACAACATACATGGCAGCAACAATAGCATCATAGTCAAGATCAAAGATAGCTACACCCGACTTAAGCGAATCACCCCAGCGAGGGATCTCAGAGGCGTCAAGGAACTGGAGACGCCAGGGGTCAGTCAGGCGGCCAAAGCAGCGCTGGGTGGTGTGCGGCCCGTAGCACGGCTCCCCATTATAGTCACTAGTACGCATGACGTAGGCACAGGGTCCAGCACCCCCAGACCGCTGACGCGCAGCGTACCACTCACGAAGCTGCTGGGGTGGCGCGGTCTCACGAGAGCGCTGCTGCTGCTGACGGTGGCCACCACCGAAGCCTCCCCGCGGCACAGAGCCAACCCGACCAGCGCCACCGCCACCGCCGCCACCGCCGCCTCCTCCACTCCCACCGCCACCGCCGCCGCCGCCTCCGCCGCCGCCGCCACCAGAGCCCCCACCCCCGCCACCACTCCCACCGCCACCCCCACCCCCTCCGCCGCCCCCACCGCCACCACCACCACCCCCGCCCGCTCCCCCAGCACCCTTGTCCCCCTTGCCCTTGCCGTTGCAGCGCCTCCCGCTAGGGGTAGACGCAACGCCGACCGACTCGGTGCCAACGAGGTCGACAGCAGCAGCAGAGGCAACAGAGGGCAAGAGGGGGACGGGGGAACACCCCTCAAAGAAAGGGGCACGAGGGTCACTTCGAGAGGCTCCTACAGCGACTATACTCTTCTCAGTTGCAAAGAGGCGCTCCTCGAGGAGGTCAACGGTGAGTGTGGTGGGGTAAACAGAGAGGAAGTGGTCCCTGACCAAGCGAAGGGAGTCAGGGAGTCGGGTGATTAGGTAGTAAAGGGTGATGTACATAGGGGCGGGGTTCTTGGCGCATAACTCAGCAAGAAGCGCAGCGCGGTAGCGGGTGTCACTAGTGCGGAGGTGCGTAATGAGGTCAGCGACTGTGGCAAAGGCGGCGAGGTCAGGGAACAGGTACGCAGCATGAGGTGACTAAGGGCAGCAGTGGCAGGGGAGGAGTAGCGTGCAACTACCCGCGTCGTACAAGGTCTTAGCAGTCTTGTACTGACTAATGTGCGCGCGCTCAGTGGACGGCAGGTGACTACGCACAGCAAGACGGGCAGCAGCATCGCGCGTGGTCCACTGTGAGCGAACAGTACTGTCAGCATCGGCAGCAGGGGCAGTAGAGGCGCCAGACGTGAGATCGAAAAGTGAGAGGTCGTGTTTGCTATCGCACTGCAGGAAAAGCTGCAGATCATCTATCCACACCTCAAAGTCTACCGCTCGACTCTCAGCATCAAAGGTAAGAACGTTGGGACTAGCCATGACAGCAGCAGTAGCAAGCTAGCAGCATCAGCAGCAGAAGCAGGTTAGCAGTAGCAGCAGCAGGAGGGGCGTGGCTCGGCGGTGCGCTTACCAGGGGCGGGTGGGTTGAAGCCCGCAAAGTGGTGGGGCAGGGCCGAGGCGCGCCGGCAGGTTCAGGGCCGCAACAGGGTGGCAGAGGAGGGCCGCGACTCGGCTGCAGGGTAGGGCCGGGACGGCGGCGGCGGCTGTCACGGCAGTGGCAGCGGCGGTTGTCTCAGCAGCAGCGGCGGCAGCTGTCACGGCAGGAGCGGCGGCGGCTGTCACGGCAGCAGCGGCGGCGGCTGTCACGGCAGCAGCGGCGGCGGCGAACCGGCCGTGGCGGAAGCGGCAGCGGTAGCATGCGCGACGGCAGGTGCTGCTGGGGCGGTGACGACGGGGCGGCAGGGGCCGCGAAGAGCCAGGGAGGGGCCGTGGAGGGGCCGTGAAGGGGCCGCGAAGGGCCACGAAGGGCCGCGGATGGGCCGCGAAGGGCCGCGGAGGGGCCGCGAAGGGGGGCCGCGAAGGGCCGCGAAGGGCCGCGGAGAGGCCGCGAAGGGCCGAGAGGGGGGCCGCGAGGGGCCGCGAAGGGGCCACGAAGGGCCGTGAGGGGGCCGCGAAGGGTCGTAAGAGGGGCCGCTAAGGGGTCGCGACAGGGGCCGTGAAGGGGCCGCGAAGGGGGGGGCCGCTAAGAGGGCAGCGAAGGGGCCACTAAGGGGCCGTTAAGGGGCAAGGCCTCTGAGGGGCCGCGAAATTTAGGGCAGGACGCGAAGCGCGCTTCGGGCAGGCTAAAAAAAAAAAAAATTCAAGGTGGGCCCTTAGGAAGAAACGGTCCCACTAGGGAACCCGCTCTATACCATGTGAGAAAATGGGGAAATGAATTGGCTAGGAAACATGTGGGTACAAGTGAGAAACCTAGAAGTGTTGTACCCTATAGTATCTACCCCACTACAGCCTAGATAGACTATAGCATATATGTTTGACATTCTCATCGCGCTAATCTCTGCCGACATGGCATCCCATCTAACTGCTTCTCAACTTCTGTGTACAGATACATTTCTGGTCGCCAGTCACCACGAACATAGGGGTGTCACACCTGCTCCTGAAGCGTCACACACATCATCTCATTGCACGTGTTCTCTGTCACAGACGTTGCCTTGAGCTTAGTGATAAATCGACCTCCTAATATGAGCTCATCCTCTGAGGACGTCTTGTCTGCGTCCGACCCTGGTCCGCCTCTACGCCTTGGTCGCAGCTCTACATGCTGCATCACTTCCTACGATTGTTACGCCAGTAAGAAACAACTCTCAAAAGATCTTAGGTCATGCTGCACACTGGTGACTGTTGATGGCAACGACAGTAGCTACGCAGCATGATGCCTTCACCGCGAATTGGTGCAAGATTCTGTCGTTGTGAGAGGCGCGTTTGACATAATTGGACCTCTGATGATGGAGCTAGTACGGCACCACCTACGAGCTCCCTGAAACGTTTGACGTGGCGCGGAACGACAGAGTTTTAACTTATGATGATGGAGCTAGGACGGCGCCACCTAAAAGCTCGCTGAAGCATTTGACGCAGCACGGCAATGCATCTCACATCACAATCCATGCTTAATGAGAGCATGGGTGCGTTGGCGTAATTATAGTGTGTCTGCTGAACCATTCTGCTCGTCGTGAGCCAGACGCCCTAAAGTCTGGAATGCTACCTTTCTCAAAAGATTCTATGTGTGATCAAGTGATTTCACATCCTGGATATGGCTAGCCATGTGCAGACAATAGTCACTGAAGAGCATGAAAGCCAGTATGTATTGATTTGTAAATGAAATGTTTATTCCCGGATTTTGGAGATCATTGTAATTGGAGAAAGCAACATGCCACCTTCATGTGTTCAATAATTCACCAACAGACTCATGCGTTCCTTTCAATTCTAAACTGTATATTAGAGAAAACAAAACAGTGCTGAGTAGTGTACACAACATGCATAGCATATACAATTATTGCAACGCACATGTGTTGTTCTAACAGGCGCGCTTTGATATGCAAAGCGCTTCCCGCATCCAAATCGCATTTCATCCCCACTTGTTTCAAAATTCAAATGCATGATGAGATTGTGCGCTTCGAAGTTTCTGAGCCACAACTATGTTTCCTCTTGTATCTCCTATTCCAGTATTCAGTGTGTATATCACACCGAAGACTTCTCACTACCTTGTACCAATCTCACTGCTTTGAGATACCAAGGGATTCGTTGACTGTTGGAATGATATCGCCATGAGTGCTAGAACAAACGCGCGCTACGGTATGACATTGCAGGCTGTCTTCTACCTCATACTTGTATGTTTTTCAGTCGTCCGTGGCAGGCCTTGTTAGTAGTACCATCGTTTCTGTTAATATGGGAAAATCATGCTAAGCACGACTCCCAGGTTACCTGACTTAATCAGATGATGGCCAGTCACTCATGCTTATTCTGTGGGGAACCATTTGATGACGAGAAGTGCCAGACAAATCACGAGCGCCTCAAAGGGAGATGGGGTAATAAACGTGCACGTCGCGACGCCCTGCCACGTGCCAGGCGTGAAACTCCGGTGCCACCTCCAACTGAACTCGTGTTTCCTGCGGAGTCGTTGCACCCTCTGCCGACGGATCCTCCAACCGACACCCGCCACAACCCTCGTGACCCCGGCTTGGTCGACGGAGAATCCTTCCACGAGGCAAATCCATGCTTTGTTCAATATGACGAGCCCAAGGAACCCTTCGATACCTGCCTGGAAGTATTCTGTTTTCTGTGTCTATGCAACAAAGGGATGGGACTAAGTGGTACGAACATTGCCCTGTTCTTCAAACTGATGAAGCATCCGAAATTCAATCTAAGCGATCTGGCATACTGGAATGGGAAGCACACAGTGGACAAGTACGCGTTTGAGAAACTGGGTGTTGAAAAGAAGAAGTACCTCACCAATGAGGGGACCGTTGAAGGATAGCCGACAAAGTACAAGGTCAAGTACATTGACCCCCGTCGTGGTACGTGTACCCTCGTGTTATGTACCTCTGCCTATCACTTTCCGCACCTTGCACTGGCCGCACCTATCACCGTCGGCACCTTCACTCTGTCCGTTTCTCCCACTGTCCCGCGTCTCTCACTATTCGCTTCTCTCTCTATCCGCCTTTCTCTCTGTCCGCTTCTCTCTCGGTCCGTTCCTCTTTCTGTCCGCTCCTCTCTATTTTTGCTTCTTTCTCTGTTCGCTTCTCTCACTGTTCGCTTCTTCATCTGTCCGCTCCTCTCATTTTCCACATCTCTCTCTGTCCGCTTCCCTCTCTGTCTGCTCCTCTCTCGGCCTGCTCCTCTCTCGATCTGCTTCCTCTCACGGTCCTGCCTCGTATCACGGTTTGCTCCTCTCATGGTCTGCTCCTTCCTCAATCTGCTCCTCTCGCGGTCTGCTCCTCTCTCAGTCTGCTCCTCTCACGGTCTGCTCCTCTCACAGTCTGCTCCTGTCACGGTCTGCTCCTATCACGGTCTGCTCCTCTCACAGTCTGCTCCTCTCTCGGTCTGCTCCTCCCTCGGTCTCTCGGCTTGCTCCTCTCTCGGTCTGCTCCTCTCACGGTCTGCTCCTATCACAATCTGTTAATCTCACGGTCTGCTCCTCTCTCGGTTTGCGCCTCTCTCGCTCTGCTCCTCTCACGGTCTGTTCCTCTCACGCTCTGCTAACTTTCTCGGTCTGCTCACTGCGTACGTGTGTCTTCTGCACCGATCAGGCTCTGGCATGTCTATGGGCTGACCCGAAGAAACGGTGATAGGTTTATACATCATGCAAGACCCGAGTACGATAAGAGCGCGTCTATGAAGCAGTAGAGACTGGGGCCTTTTGGGAAGAAGCGCAGGTATGCCGACTTGCTTCAGCATCGTCTATTTCTTCGTTGTTCTTTGCTTTGCCCAAGGGCTGCTTGTGAACGGTTGTTCGGCGTGCACCCACACTACGTTACTGGTTTTTGCTGTCTTACGAAAGTTGTCTAGGTATTAATCTGAAGAGCAGCGCACGTGCTTGCATACTGTGTGCAGGTCGGCCTGTCAGAAGACGGATTGGTGTGTCCATTTATAATCTCAGAGTGACGAGTCGCTTCTTAGTGGGAACAAGCGCCTCAAGGCAATGGCCTTTGTACTTCATATGCACGAACATCCCCCTATGGCTCCGCTGGAAAATATCATGGACGCGTCCGTCTTTCTCTCTTACCAACGCCACATCCGGATATGACACCAGCCCAGAAGGTGAGCTGTTTCATAAAAGCACGGACATTGTGCTTGAGAGGCTTATTGCTGCCGGCAAATGGGTAAGCGATAACCGTAGCTCTACTTGTTCTTCGCTGCAATGCGGCTCCTACCTGCCATTATTTAAATGACCCTCTGCAGCCCATCATTTCCCACCAAGGTACCCATCCCTTTCCACATGCTTCGCATCCCATCCCCACATCCTGCACCTCTGTTCCCCCCATGTTGCCCATCTCTGCTCGGTATGGTTGCACATCTGTTCCCCCCATGCTGCCCATGCCCTTCCTCACATGTTGCCCATGCCCTTCCCACATGCTGCCCATGCCCTACCCACATGCTTTGTGCACACATTTTTTCCAAGAATGTTCACGGCCTCCGTATTCTCTTTGTCCGCGTCCTCTGCCATATACCCCATCAGCTCTATGCCTTTGATTGATCCACACGGGCGAGCATGGACCGTGTGGCCCAAGCTGTATTCTTGGATGACCGACTATCTGGAGGGGTCCTGGGTGTCTTGCACGATGCAACATCAGTCAAAGTGTCCTTATTCACAGTGCTAAGTGACACAATCGAACCTGGCCAACATGGATCCCACCCTGAACCACTGGAGAAGGGTAGAGGCGCAAAAGGGGTTAGCTGCATACCTAGACAAGGAATATCGAAGCTCCTATGGGACACACGATATTCCTAGAATTGCAAAAGCCAACCTTCGCCTTTCTGTCCTG